AGAATGAGAAAACAGACACTACACGTTACAAGGAGCTGGATCCCATGATCTCCTCTGCCTCCTTCCCAGTGTATTCCTAAACTGAGGTCTCCTCTGCATTTCCAAAGCACAGATGTGGAAGTGAAAACCTTAAAATGCTTGGGTCATTGAGTGTTCCGGGTGGCTGGTGAACCAGCTTTCAAGATGGCAATGGCAGCCAGAGGATTATAGCTACAAGGTGAAAAATTAAGAGCTGAAACAAATTCAGTTCACCATGCAAAACTGAACTTGATGGTCTATTAGACAAAGATCAAGTGACAAGCAAATGACTCCAGTGTCCTAATCCCCCTGGGATTTGTCTTAATTCTCCCAGAATCCTTGAGATGCTCAGCTGAGCGGCTCTGCTTACAACTGTGCAGCATTAGAAGGCTGGGGACCTCCCCCGCCAGCGATCAGGGGTCAGGGGAAGCACTATCCACCTACCTATACATCAGACAAAGACAAACATGGTTAGAGATCAATGTCACAAGACAAAGTTCCTACATTTCTGTGAGATATTAGAACACCTTTGTCTCCTGGGGTATTGAGTGAAACCCTGGTTGAATAAATAAAAGGGTAAAGTAATAGAATAGGTCTTAATTAGTTAGCAGGAAGAATTCTACCACCCCAGGTAACATTTATTGAGCATTATCAATGACAGATGCAAAGGCATATTATAGGGATTGTTTGGTTTTGTTCGTATAACAACCCCACGCGGTAGGTAATTTTACTATTCCCATTTTACAAATGAGAAGAACCGGGGATTCAAAGAAGTTAAGAGACTTGCCTAAAGTTCCATGACTTAGGAGAGGGTAAGATCTAGGATTCGGACCCAGAGCTTTCTGGCTCCACTGCTGTTTTCTTTAACCAGCATGAACCTAACCTTGGGCAACTTGTTCACAGTTGGTACTGATAAATGAGTTCCACTAAATACCTACAACAACTCTGGGGTTCATTCCAGCTAATTCTCTTAAGCTCCTGGACTGCCTCTCTTGTAGCAAAAGTGGAAAAAAGTTGAACTGCACGTTCACTATACATTCAAACCTGGACTTTCCTTTTACCAGTTTAAATGACATGTTCAGAATTTAATGACGACCTGGGGAAAAAAAAAAGAACTCATCCAAGGCTTGCAAAAAGGAGAAGCAGAGCCCTGTCTTAGGAACCCAGAGTCATGTTGCAAAGGTAACATGGGGACTCCCCAGCCCCACGATGAAAAGCTGGAATAAACTCCTCGGACAGCAAATAAGCAGAGAAGGTCAAGGGAAAACAGAGGCGTCCTTCACCCATTACAAACTCCTGTCCTGCAGACACTTGTCACTCCAGAGGAATGCCCTGAAGAAGAGCCTGAGAAGGCCAGAAATTAAGTCCATGCTACTGGGACCTGCAGCTAGACATACACTCTGATTTGCTCCCAAGGTTTAAGCAATAAAATTTCCACTAGATTTTTTTCCTATATAGTATAATGAAAATGTTCAAACATAAAACAAAGTTGAAAGAATTTTACAGTGAAGCCCTATATGCCCAACCCCTCAATGCTTTCATTGACATCACCAAGGCAGGCATACAGGTGAGGCAGGTGAAACTGGTCCTCCCTAAAGGAGAGGGGTGATGGAAGGTGATGCCACAGCACCAGTCCACTGTCAACTTATTCCTCAAAGAGTGGCAAGCCGCCCACCTGTGCCTGGCCCTAAGCACTGGCAACACAACGAGACTGGCTCCTTTTACTCGACAGGCAGTTTCTGAGTCTGCACGAGAAAGTCCAGGCAACCACACTGTCTCAACAATCTCATTTCAGAGAAAGGCACCAGGTCTTACACTTTGTAGTCACACATTTCATTGGCTGTTAAAACTGGAGGGGAGTTTGGGGTCATCTGGTGAAATCTAATCTTTTATTTTACACTTGAGGCAAGTAAGACCCCGAGAGGTTAAACGTCAGGCCCAGGGTCAGATCTTAGGAAGGAACTTAGAACTCTCCAATAAAGTACCTGAGTCTTTGCAGAAATACTCACTGGGCTGATGGCAGTCAGAAACTAAGAAAACAGGAGAGAAATCCCTTGAAATAGATTTTTACAAGCAGGTCTAGAAAACAAAGTCCAGATAAGTAAAAGGTAACTGTATTCTGCCACTCTGTAAGTCTAGGAAACATCCACATTACCAATAACTCTCTAATACTAATTATGGTTCCTTGACCAAAGTTCAAGGGAGACCACTATTCTAGGTGACAATAAAAAAAGTTTTAATACATTTATTACACGATGAGACAACTTCAAAGTATAACATTTACCCCTTCAGCTTCTGCTTGTGTTGTATCTTAATTCTGCCCACATAAGATATTTCAATCTAATTTCACAACTCATAATGCATGTCTAAAACAGCAGTGCACCCTTACCATACATGGCAGGAAATTTAAATAGCGTGATCAAACACACGAGCATCAGCATGCATGAACTGCCCTATTGTAGCAATGATGGCAGAGGAATGCCCCAGCCAACTGAAGGAACTCGGAACTGATTGAGTATGCCAACACGTGTCCTCCCTCTCCCATCTCTGACTAATTAACACCACTCTAGGCCTTCTTATAAGGCTTGTGAAAACCACTGTGACTGATCTGGGCTCACCTGGAGCTGAAAATTACTTTGCCAATAGCAGAGAATAATACTTCCCGCATAACCAACAACAAAAACAAGCCTCTTTGGTGGCCCCTGAGTCATTTTCTTTTATGTCGAGCTTTCCTCCAAAGCTTTGAAGATAAAGGACAGGACTCCGCTAACAGCCAACTATGGCAAAACAGTCAAAGGATACAGCCTTTTCTGCCCCTGAGGACTTCCTCCTACAATGATATCTCTGATCGATGTCTTTGCGGGATTTTGTTTTCGGCCCCCAGTTTGACAAAGGCTCAAGGAGCGACGTCCCCGTGCCAATTTTTTTGAGTAAAAAAACAAAAGCTGCTCAGTGGAAACGCTGGAGAACAACAATTATAGTCAACAACCTGCCTTGAACACCTTATGTTGCTGAAAATACCGTAATAAAAGCTCGCTTCCCCAAAGATCGTCTTAAAGTAAGTCCGCATTTTTTTAAATTGGCAATAAAAAGAAAACACATTGATATATTCAACAATTTGGAAGATTCATTAGAAAATTAGACTGATGTGAAAAAGCCAATCCCAAAAGGTTACTGATGGGATGATTCCATTCATATAACATTTTGAAATGACAAAATCTTAGAAATGGAGGATAGATTAGTGATTTCCAGGGACAAAGATGGGAGGCTAAGGAGGGAGGTGGGTGTGGTTATAAAAGGGCAACACAAAGGAAAAGGGCAACACAAAGGATCCTCGTGGTGTTGGAACTGTCGCTATCTTCACCATGGTGGTGGATAGACGAGCCTACATGGGTGATAAAATTCTATAGAATTTATTACGCACACACACAAATGAGTATGAGAAAACTGGGGAAATCTGAGTAAGACAGGTGGATTGTATCAATGTCAATATCCTGGTTGTGACAGTACACTACAGTTCTGCAAAATGTTACCAATGGAGGAAACAATTTCCCAGTTAACTAGGAAAAGCATACAACTACATGTGAAGCACCAGTTATCTCAAAAATTTTAATTTAGGGCCGGCCCCGTGGCTTAGCGGTTAAGTGCGGGTGCTCCGCTACTGTTGGCCCGGGTTGGGATCCCGGGCGCCCACCAACGCACTGCTTCTCCGGCCATGCTGAGGCCGCTCCCACATACAGCAACTAGAAGGATGTGCAGCTATGACACACAACTATCTGCTGGGGCTTTGGGGGAAAAATAAATAAACAAATAAAAAAAAATTTTTAATTAAAAAAAATCATCTGTACGTCTATGTCTTAGGGGAAAAAGCTATTTTTTCCCCCTAATGGCAGGGAAGGAATCATCTAAGAGTCTGTGACAGCTGGAAAGACAAGCTCAATTGTCAACAAGATGGAATATGATGATTGGGGGACATATTAAAATTTAGGGAAAGGATTTCTTCTCAGTCCAGCACTCTTACCCACTGTTTCAATTTCACATCCTACCTTGAGGCAGAACTTTTCACTCTGAAATGTACATAAACTGTTTCCTCCTCTGTATCTCAACATCTTTAGTAACATGACAAAGCCGATTTTATGGATTTATGTACAAACTGGAATCCCTCCATGTTTTTCCAGAGTTTACTAAACTTCAGAAGGAATGCTAATTAACAAATGATGTGTTCTATTGATCAAAATTAGTACACAAGACAAGAGCAATTGTTGGGTTCAGGCCATTACGTCTGTAACTATTCAATATGCTTGTCACTCATAAACCATTCCATTCTTAAATTTTCTTGTTTATTTAAAAAAAAAAAAAATCAAGGGCTGGCCAGCCCCCGTGGCTTAGCGGTTAAGTGCGCGCGCTCTGCTGCTGGTGGCCCGGGTTCGGATCCCGGCCCCCACTGACGCACCGCTTCTCCGGCCATGCTGAGGCCGCGTCCCACACACAGCAACTAGAAGGATGTGCAGCTATGATATACAACTGTTGACTGGGGCTTTGGAGGAAAAAAAAAAAAAAAAGTAGACCCCTTTTAAAAAAAAAAAAAATCAAGAGTCTTGACCAGCTGAGTGGTTGGCAAACCAAACTCCTCAGCACCTGGCCGCCATAACTATGGACCGCCTACCAGGGCTTCAAGCAAGAAGCTCTTCGTGTGTCAGTTGTACAGGGGGCTCCCATATGATTTTGCTTGAACAATGTTTTCCATACCTAAAGGAAGAAGGAAAGCGCGGACAGAGGTATGCAAAGAACTAAGACTGTATTTCATGACGGCTCTGATTTTTCCTTACTGTGACATTCTATCATTTTAGATAAAGGATAATTTAAAATCAGATCTGGGTTTGAATCTCAGCTCTGTGATTTAGTAACATTGCGATGTGAGCTAGTTTATCATCCTCCCTGGGACTCAGCTTCCTCATTCCTACAAAATGGTTGTATGGATTACAGTGAGAAAGTGTCCCTAAGGTCTTAAACAATGCCTGGCACATAGTAGGTAAGTAACAAATGATCAAAAGTATTCTGATGACAAAGAACCCAAACATCTTTAAACATTTAAAAACATTAATGTTAAAATGTATTTAAAATAGTCTTCTTTTTCAAAATAATTCTATCACTCTTTTTGAGAGTCTCCACTAGATTATTCCTCTTATTAAGTGGAAACTTTATTCCACTTAAAGTTTTAAAAAACGAACCCCTAAACAAGTTAAAGAGACACAACTATAAAAATATCAATATGCAGGAAATTTTTTGTCTCTATTTTCCAATTTCTTCATCACAGCCTCCATATGCAAAACATGGGAACTGATGTTTACTAAAACAGGAAAAGGAAAGGACAACGTTTATTTTTAAATTTATTAGTGGACAGTTTATTAAAAGGAGTTTGTAATGAACTAGTCTATCATGCTAGATATAAGCACCATGGTTCTAACCTTTAAAATTCGATTTATAGTCTTCTCCAATTACACATGAAGGCATCATAATTAAAAGTTTGGGATACCTGACTTGTAAAGTAGGCATTAGGCTGTCATAATTTCAGTTCCCCTCAGTTGGCATCTCATCACCTGTTTTCAACAGAAGCCATACATAACAATAGTAAGCTATTATTTTACAGAGAGTAAAAATTCATTTACTAGTTCAAAAAATATACACATGGAACACCTAACATGCTAGGAAAGGTAAAAAATGTCTTTTTATGCACTGCACTGAGAAAATAATTGACACACCAAAGGTAATTTGGTTTCTTCCCATAATGATATAATCTTTCTATCACAAACACCATATTGATTATAGGTTTGTTGTTTATACTAAGTGGCAAATTTGTAGTCATTTTTAAGAATAAAATTGGCTGTAGAAGCACTGTTAAAGTAGAATATCCTTTTAAAAGAAATAAGACAAAAGGAGCTGGTGGTATTGTTCATAAAAAATGGATTGAAACACACCACTCACAAAACTGTCTCCTCCATTCACTTTCTGAAGTAGCTAGCTTCTGGTAGTAGTGTGCCACCTATTGTTGCAAAATGAGCTTCTAGATTGATGGTTTTCCTATTCAGTACTACAGGGAAGCAAAGTGTCCTACTGTCTTCCTAAAGATAATGAGTGTTTATTTTCCTTCATGCTTTCCTGTCACTTCCAACACCTACAATACAAATGTATCACAGAGAATATAACCTTTTAAAAAATTTATTACAACCCATTTAAAGCATGCATCAGATTAACCCACTGGATCTCATACAGGGCTGATTTTGTCCCTGAGGCATTTGGCAATGGCTGGAGAAAATCACAGTTGTCAAGACTGAGGTGTGGGGGTACTGGTTTCTAGTGGGCAGAGACCAGGGATGCTGCTAAACATCCTACAATGCACAGGACAGGCCCTCACAAAGAACATCTATCTGGCCCCAATGTCCATAGTGCTGAGGTTGAGGCAGCCAGGTTTAACTAAATAACCAGCGTCATTTCTTCCAAAGGAAAAAGAAAGCCATATTTAATTACAGAATAAAATAAAGTAGCCAATTTCACAAACCCAACATTCAATAGCAACATACTAATTAAAAGTGGATAAAACGTTAGGAACTACATCAGTCTTCCCAAGATTAGTATCCCCAGTAATAGCCCCAATTAGCAACTTACAATTCAATCACTTAAAAGAAAATTAAAGCTGGGGGCCAGCCCGATGGCGCAGCAGTTGAGTTCGCACATTCTGCTTTGGTGGCCTGGGGTTCACCGGTTGGGGTCCTGGGCATGGACCTACTCACCACTCATCAAGCCATGCTGAAGCGGCATCCCACATAGAAGAACTAGAAGGACCTACAACTAGGATATACAACTATGTACTGGGGGCTTTGCAGAGGCAAAAAGAAAAGAAGAGGAAGAATAGCAACAGACATTAGCTGAGGGCCAATCTTCCTAAAAAAGAAAAGAAAAGAAAATTAAAGCAAATGTTGGCCAACTAGTCTCAAAGCCTTCTAACACATAAGACCTCAACCTGACTTTGTGATTGGTCCCCAGGCTGACTTTTGCACCCCTTGAAGTATAATAATTCTCTAGCCATACTCAAGAATCCTCACTGTCAGTATGGTAGGCTGGGGCACAGGCAATACATGGTACATGTAGCCCCCACTTTATCATCTCCCCCTCTCCCATCCCATGGCCCATCCCATTCATGGCAGACATCATTAGTCAACCAAAGTCTCAGAATCTTTCTCACATGGTGCTCTAGTCCATGGAGTTGGCATGGGAGATGTTGTCTATCTGGCATCCATGATGGGATACGATTTCAGAAGGGGTGGGTTCAAGTCTTGCCTTGGCCACTGGAGGGCTGTATGAACTTGAGCAAGTCACTTAACCTCTCTGGGTCTATTTCCTTCAGTTATATAACATACATTAAAGGATCTTAAAAGGGTCTTTTAATTCTAACTCCAAACAAGACGTGGCAATATGAGATTTTTGGAGTAATAAGGTATTTGTACTTCAACTGCATAGCTGCCAAATAAATACTAAATGTATGAGGCTACATGGAGGGCATGAAGAAGAAAGACAAGACACTCATAGGAATATGAGAGTAGGATGGGAATTGACCAGAAAAAGAAATGGCCAACAAAAAAGAGCATTTTATCTTAAAAAATAAAAGACAGCATGCAATAGTAGAGAAAACACACTGCAATTAGATTCTCAATTTGAGTAACAACATCATAGAGCAGTACTGCATCTGTGACTTAAGATAAATGATTTAACCTCTCTCTGAGGTTCAGTGTCCTAATATACAAAAGGGGGTAATTCTACCTGTCCAGCCCTTCTCACACGACTGTCTCTAGATTAATTACTAAATCTTCAAAGGGGCCCCAAGAGCAGCATGATTGAGTAATTTATGGACTATCTACACTACAAAATATTACAAAGCTGCAGAGTAAGTGACTTAAAGCTGTTTGCTCCGATCTGGAGAGATGTTCATAAAATATGTTCAAAAAAAGCTAGTTGCAGAGGGATGTGTACACTGTAATCCCATATTAATAAGCAATAAGAAAATTAATCAAAGATATGTGAATCCATATGTGTGCATGCAATGAGAAAAAAATGTGGAAGGATACACACACACACACCCTAAAATGTTTAGCACCAAGGTAGGAGTGGTAAAAAGAAGAATAAAATTGTGGGTTTCTCTGTGGGCTTCATTTTGGCAGAACTCATCCTTTGGCTTGTTTTTATGTGATAGCTTAAAAAAATAAATCTTATTTTTAAAATATCTTAAAGAATTCTTGGTCCTAGAAAGTAGATTAGAGGTTGCCAAGAGCTAAGGGGAGTAGAAATGGAGAGCAACTGCTTAATGGGTATGGAGTTTCCATTTGGGGATGAAAAAGTTCTGGAACTAGACAGTAGTTCTTGTTGCATGCATCCTGTTGTGAATGTACTAAGTGCCAATGAAATGTACAATTTAAAAGGGTTAATATGGTAAATTTTATGTTATGTGTATCTTACCATTAAAATAATTCTTGGTCTCAATGTTCTATGTAAGTAGAAGAGACTGAGACCATCACGCTTGAGCAGACTCACTAGCACCTCCACCAGTAGATTTGGAGCAATAAAAGAAACAGTGATGGGAGGAAAGGAAAGGAACTCAGGTAGAAACTGAGATACACTCAGAGGGGCACAGAGACATTTGCTTCTCTCTATCTCAAGGGAAACCCAACCCTGGGGACCACTACACCCTAGTGTCCAGCCGGTATCTCTCCCTAAGCTTCCTTGGTTTAATGCCTGTCAACCCCCAAGGTCCCCCAGGACCCCCAGCAAGACAGTGTTCAAACAACCTGAGCCTTTCAACCTCAGCAAGCTCCTTATTGTGAGGCCTAAAGTACTATTCAAACCAAGGACATGAGAAATAAAAGTAAGAAATTATTATAATCATGTATGTGCTACACTTTAAAAAGGTCTACCCTATTATATTTTATATCCCTAAGCAAACTACTACAGAACTTATAAAGTGTACTTTAATGTGAACTTTTTAAAAGTATTTCAAGTCTTTCTTCAAACTGAATTTTGAAGTATTACATGGAAGACCAAAATAGAGAAAGTAAAATTCTGTAGGACTCCAACGAGCCAGAGAATTCTAGAATACACTTTGAAAACCACCAGACCTGGGCAAGAATCCTGTTGTTTTAGAAGGGGTATGAGAGCATCTCTGTCTACACCATGAAAGCATAGAGGGAGTTAATTTAAAAAGACTGAATGTGTAAGTTGCAATAAGATGATCACAAAACTCGTGGTTCTCAGTGAACCACCTGGGAAAAAATTCCTACAGGAAAAAAAAGGGCAGAGATGAACTATGAGAAAAGTCCAATTGTCCAGCTGTGAAAGCTTTATATCCTACCACTGTCATCCCTAGGTGCTCAGGTCTTATGGTCAGCAGCTGCAGCGCCAGGGAGCTTAGCAATCTTTTTAGGGCCCTACACACAGTCCGTGCACAAAAGAGGCAAGGAAATGCTTATTGTCAACCATGAGGATAGCTTCCAATGCAATAAAAATAAGAAAAAACGAAATCACAGCCATCTCCAGTGAAACAAAGCTACCTCAAAGGGCTTAAAGAAAACTAAACTATGAAGCAAAAGGGTTTAGGGCTCACATAAATGAAATGTTCATGGGTACACCTTGAGTATATCTGTATAGTACTGCTATAGGTCAAAGCAATCAAAAGACCCTGAATGCCCAGGCCTGGGTCACACAGCCATTCCTAGAGCCCAGAGAGGGACAACAGCTTACCCCAAGAATGCATCAACTTGGAGGAGAAAAGGAAGGAGGCCACAGTTATTTCCCCAAAGCCTTTTGATGTAAAAGCTTTCCTTGCACCCTACATTAATAACCAATTGCTGCGTAACAAGACCCCCCAAACCTCAGTAGCTTAAAACATTAATAAACATTTATTACGCAGTCTCTACAGGTCAGTATTCAGCAACGGCTTAGCTGGC